ATTTTGACTATTAGCTTCAATTTACTACTTGGATAGCTTGACTGGATCAAATTCATCTTTAGCTTCAGTTTACTAATTGGATAGTTTAGCCAGATCAAATTCATCTTTAGCTTCAGTTTACTAATTGGATAACTTGACTGGATCAAATTATCATATAATCATTAAATGTTGATTGACCGAGACAAACTGGATCTACTGTTCAGTGAATATTCTAAACAATCCCCAAATGACAATAGATTGATGCTTAAGTTCTGGGTTAGTTTTTTGGCTAATTAACCAGATATGGCAAAACATAGAGAGGACTAATACTAATAAAAGACAAATTAACTTATAATAGCAGAGTGACGATAAACAATGATTCAACTGCAAGTAAAAATATAAGAGAGAATAATACAAAATAGATTCATTTTCAAAAACTACTAAATAATAAAGGTATGTAATACAAGTACTATTTACAAGTGTTTAAATTACCTTTTTTTTCACTTCATAATATTATCTATTTAAATCCTTAAATTCTGACAAAGAAGAAGCAATTAATTAAAATACAGTAAGGGAAGGTGCAGTTTGCAACAACTGAACTACAATTTTCATTATCATAAATCATATCTGACTGCTGCAGTTAACTAAAAGTAATTTTACATTTGTGAAATTTATTTAAATAAAAAATGAATCTCACACTGACAGTTGGAAACCATCTAAATTATGCAGATTGTGGTGGTTAGTGACTGTTTGACACGTACAGCAAAACATCATATAAAACTAGAAAGCAGCAAATTTGTGACCCACAATGCACCTAAAACCTTCTAATCAATATAAGAATCTATTTCTGACAGACCAACCAATCAACTCATTCCGAGCAAAAACAAAAGATAAATTGACTGAAATGATCCCAACTTCCCAAGATGAAAGATACAAATCACCAAAGTACCAGAGATACAATACATTTAGAAAATGCCCCCATTCTGTGTAAGAAGTGTATATACCACAGCATGCTGTCTATTTTTCATGCCTGATCAATGAGGTTGGTTGAATCTGCCTACTAGAGAAAACTCTATAACAGCTACACCTGCAGAACAGTGCAGGGGTTCCCAGGCCTCTGCTAAGCCTAGCTTTATCACCATTAGTATGGTAGGGGATCCTGAGAGCTATTCACCAGCTGTTTGTTCTCGTACATATTGGCTGTACACACATCTGAACTTTTTCCATCAACCCTCTAATCTATTTAGCATACAGGTAGTACAAACTTGAAGTATCTACAAATACTTGAAGCTAAAGAGATTATAAAAAACAAAACTTTCTTGCAGAGTAAGCCATTTACATAGAAGATAAACAGGAAACATCAAGTTAAAGCAGAGTTGATGAAATATTTCTTTTAGTTACAAGGAAAGTAATGAGAAAAGTAGTGAAAGTTTTCTGAAACTACATCCAATGAGTTGGAGTTAAATCACTGAACATTTTTGAAATTTTTCTTGTATTTTGCAAACTTCTTTAAAGAGTAAGCAAGGGATATAAAATTAACGTTTTCTCTTTCAACGTAAGCTTTATTGACTTGCACTCTTTTAAAAGTAGTTCTTCAATTTTTAATTTTCACAAGTTATAATAAAACAAAAAATTTCATTGTTAGACCTGAAATATTAATATCTGTATTAAAGTATGTAAGTAAACATAATTACCATATGTAAAAATTCTACACAGCAATTGATTCAATCTCAAATACTTCTGGGAATAACTGTGGTTTTAAATTACTATAACTCAAAGTATTTAAAATAGCATATTAGAATTTCATAAGAAAAAAAAAAAAAAAAAAAAGAGTTGTTTAAAAAACTTGTTAGGTAATTCCCCTCTCATAAGTTTCTGTAAAACTGAATACAAAGAGACATATTATAAAGGTACGCTATTTAAATTTAATGCTAATATCTGTAAGAAATTACGACTGCAAATGCTGTCCCAATATAACTGAACTTCTATAACATACGCTTGTGCTGAGTTGTTATTGTTACATAAAATTTTTTATGCTAACTCACTAAGTCCCCAAATTACAGGATTATGTCACATATTTGCTTTCACATTGAAAGCCATTCTTTAAATAACAAAGCTTGAAAGCAATGATACATCATAAAAATGTCATTTTTTTCTCTATCATTAGTAGTAAAAAAGATAGAAGGAAGAATGTTTATTAAAAATATATTTTCATAATAAAATATAGTTAAGACACCTCACAATATACAACTTTATTAAACTGTTTGCACACACACACACATATATATATTATTTAAACAGCTTGCACGTTATTTAGGCCTACAGGGGATCAAACCTGCTTCACTGTGATGGCAGATCAATATTAGTATATCAATTACCCAAGTTTGATAACTTGTATTTAGGCTTAACTGATAAGTACATCAATCACCCAAGTTTGAATACCTGTATATTGTTCTATTTGATAACCCACAAGTATATCAATCACCTAAGTTTAGTCATTTGTATGTAGGTCTAACAAACAGCTCAAGTTCTTTAGATAAAAGTATACCTCGTCCGAAGCTGTTTCAAGGTACTGATTATTTGCCCATGTGTAAGTGGTGATTATACTCTATTTTTCAGTGATTAAAAATTGATTCAACAGTCTGTGGAAGTTTGTCTTAAACATGCTTGAACTACTAACTGTTAGCCTAATCAGTTTAGTAATGACAAACTGACATTAGGTGAGCACTCTCTCCTGTAGGTTTGACTTGAAACTTATATCTTTTTTTACACAATTAAATAATTATAATGACTTAATTTTGCTTTATGTTTTGTAAAATGCATTTTTTTATATGTTATAAAGAGGAAAAAGATATTGATATAACTTAGTTTCTAAATACAAGAAATTTCATTATATATATTGCCACAAACATTGCAATTTGTTAGTTGTGAAGCTTAATTCTAAAACAATGTAAATAACATACAAAGTGATCCTATCTTTTCCTTGTCAAGCATGTATGGATAAAATAAAAGCTTGATTCAAGAGCTCTAGATGAGTATTTGTACAATACAAATGGTCATCAATGTGTCAGTTTTTCATCTTACATCCTCTCCGTGTGAGAAGCCACTCTCATATGGAATACTTTATAAAACACTGCTAAAATTCTTCATAAGATGTTTGAGGACTCAACTGCACATACATCTATCAGTGCTTAACGATGACTTGCATAAGTCCAAACACAAGAAGGTGTGTGTGTGTCTATACATACACACACATATATATATATATACACACACACACACACTTTTTAATCTTATTTGCTAGTTAAGAGTATTAATGGATATAAAGACGCATGTTCAGTAACAAAACTCTGTACACCTGACAAGTAGTGTTGGATAAGAATGTCTCTCATATTCTTATCAATTACTACATTCATTCACCTAATCAACTAGTTGCACGTAAAAACCTTCACATTACAATCATAATAAATTAATATTGTTTCACTGATATAGCACACAAACTACAGGGCATATCAGCTGTGCAAAAATATTTAGCTTTGGCCTTATACTGACTTTGTTTACTAGTGTGTTCAGTCACTCAAAAGAATAGTTAAGTTTTGGATTCCACTATGATAATCAAATATCATAAGCTTAGAATAAAAAGAAAGGAGAGAGGGGTAGGGAAAGTTTCACTCACGGACAAAAGAAGTAGACAGTATTTGTAGAAACAAAATTCCCACTTGGTGCTCGGTTTCACACACGACACCTGAAATTTTAATGCTGGGAAATCCAGGGACAAAGTACCAGATGTTGTCTTACCGCTATAGCCATACGGCATGTGATAGCTTGGATCCATGTAGGGAACCCCGCAGTCCTCAAACACGAAGTCTGGGTGATGCGCCATGATGTTCACTACGACAGAGACTCCACGAACTGGGGGGCCTCGAGACTCGGCAGCTGCTACCTGCCTGCTTTTCGATTCGGAAGCCCAGAAGCTATGAGAAGTGACTGGTTTCTGTCTTTATTGATCCCTCTGCTAAACCACTGTGTAATCTGCATTGGAAATAGACTCTGTATGTTTCTGAGAGCTGCTCTCTGGGCCAACTCTATCTTTCTAGGCTCCACAATTAATTATCACTTTCCACCTGTGCTACTCCTGAATTTTCCCACACCACATCATCAATACAACTATCCATGTTCCTGGGCCAGCAATGGTTCAATATCTCGTGCAGTGCTGTCAGTAAGGCTCAGAGGAAAGAGCATAAACTTGAACAGCTTAGGCTGTATAATAATTTATTTATTGGACTTTTGATGTATGCCAACGTTCATGTCATACTTTTTATATACCTTCAATGAGATCTTAAGCTAAAGTATGTATAATTTATCTCTGCCCAATTCTTATGTTTTATTTCTCACAATCATGATACTTATCAAATGAGCAAAATCCTTTCCAATGCTTTAAAATAACATATGCTGTGCATACATTTAGAGAACCTTTAATTTGCTAAATCTTTCCAGCACAAAGACTGGTTGAAGTAAAGTTTATCCCATACAAACTGTTCTTCTAAAATTCACAAAATAAACAAGAGTTCCAAAAACAAACACAACCAGAACTCATTATTACCGTAGGCATTTCACAAGAAAAATAACTATTGAATTTTTGTTGAGATTAAGATGCCTTAACACTCATAATTTCATAATGTTTCAAATAGATGAAAAAATATATATTTAACAAAAAGTTATTTTACACACAAAACATATTTATCATATATTTCTCTGACATTAAACAAATGTATAAAAATTGAAGTAATGTTGTTGTTTTTCACTTCTCCTAATGAGAGGCCAAAGTAAATATGGTTAATGTTTTTATGGTTTAGTATGTTTTGCTTGCTTCAAAAGAAGACAAGACTATAATAAATTGGTAGTGTACATGTTATTTATAGGCAATTATAAAAATAAAAACCTTTATATTTCACAAAAGTTTACTGTCAAAACAAAATAAAAAAATTGTAGTCACAATCTGATATAAGCACATACTTTTTACCTTATTACTTCCTAAACCATTTGAGTTTGAATGCACTGGGATGACATTTTTAACATTTAAATATGAAATAAATTTTAAAGTCATTCTAACTTCCTTTTTGCATTTCATCTGTTGTTAAAGAAATTGTAACAATTTTACTGGACAAATAAATAGTGGAGAAGCCAAACACACCAGTTTCAAGATTTTGAGCATGACAGTAGTGTCAATTTTTAAATTAAACTTACATTAACAATTTAAAATGCATATGGTCAACATTTTATCAAAGGTGGAAAGAAAGTACTGGTCTTATGACACAGACATAAAGGGGTGAATCAGGGTACTATGGGGAGAGCTGGACTGAATGTAAAATCATTATGAGTAATTTAGACTGCTTACTCTTGTCAAGAATGGAACAAACATCGTCAAGTTACAAAAAAAATTATACCAAAATTAAGGAATCTGCTAGAGGATCGATCAAGGTTTGTCAATTTTAAATTCTGTTAACACAAAGGGCATTTCTCTTTTTCCTCTCCATAATAACAACAAAAGAGATAACTGATCTTATAACTTACAGAAATAACTTTTTAGCCACGCGGAAACTACAACATACTTCATATATATTTATTCTGGTTATTAAAAAAAAAAACATTCTAAAAAAGTAACAGTAACATATACATTTTAAACTGTCTATTATTATATAATTTTTCATCAAAACACCAGTACTTTCATAAGTCTGAGTGGAAATAACTCAAAACCAGTAGTCATCGTTGGTTATATATCAAAAATACTATTCAGTGTTAAGTTGGTGTCTCATTTATAAAGAAGAGCTTAGCAGAACACAGCCACCTTATACTTATTAGTAAGTAAATCTATTCAAGTAACAAAACTTTCTAATCAACACTGTTGCCAGCTAAAAATAACTATTTGTAAAAACAAGACATGTTAAAAAATAACTGTGAATCTCACCATTTTCAGAAACACTGTGCTCATTTTCAAAATGGCTCCTGTTTTGAGACATGCTCCTGTAATGTGTTCCAACATAACTCCCTAAATTCATGTGTGACAAATGGCTATCTGGTCGCTGGTTGGAGAGATCTACAGGGTGTCCATCATATGGTCCTCGGCCACTGTGGTCATTTGCTCTTACACGAGACTGCAAGTGTTGAAATGTGCCATCTGAAGCATGATGACCAACAACATCTCCATTCATCACAGATGAGTCACTAATGTCCATCATTATACTGCCTTGTTGGCATATGCCCCCCTAAAAATATGGGAGTCATAAGTTAATGGTTTATATCATAAGAATAATATTGTTAAGAGCACAAGTAAACACACTTAAACACTGCATATGCAGAACACACAAAACTCATGAATCATAACATCATAGAGAATGCAAGTCTACACACTGAAAACACTGCACATTCAGAACACACAAAACTCGTGAATAATAACATCATAGAGAGTACAAGTCTACACACTGAAAACACTGCACATGCAGAACACACAAAACTCGTGAATAATAACATCATAGAGAGTGCAAGTCTACACACTGAAAACACTGCACATGCAGAACACACAAAGCTCATGAATCATAAAAAGTGAAAAATGCAAGTATACATACTCAAAATACTACAACATGCACTATAAGTACTTACAAACACAATCTGGTCATAATAGAAAAAAATGTTTCAGTTTTTCAAATAGAATGGACTAGACTTTGTTTGGGTATATAGGGAAAATATTTTTAATGAACTATTGTTGGATATATATATATATATAGCAAAAATATTTTTAATGAACTATTGTTGG